GCTACGCTTTCCACCAGCACCTGCCACCACCAGCTTCATCCGCGGTTTTTGGTTTTAGTTGGTTCTTTTATTTTTAAAACATATTTTGCAGAATCCGTTTCAAGAGCAACCAAACTTCACCAAGTCATAATGGCCACACACAAGGAGGGACCTGGGGGCGGGTACCAGAGAGGAGAAAACAAGGTCTAAAGCAACAGCTCTGGTCACCCACCGTCGGGTGTGCCCGGGGCTGTAATGGTTTCGGCGCGTTCATAACCCCCAACCCCAGAAACCCCTCGGTCTCAGCAAACCAGGACCGTTAGTCGCCAAACTCCTGGCTCATCCGTGAACCATACCTAGCAGCCAACTGACTGAGACCCAAGTGGCCAGACGTCCAGAGGCCTGATCCTGGTCAGAAACGGTTTTCTCGTGGAGAAAGAGTGGCATTTGGTGGTGGCCGCAGTAATCCCAGAAGGAAGCGGACTCCCTGCTGTGCCCTGTTGGAAACAATCAGGAGACAGACAGGATTCTCTGCTTCTGTCCCGACATTCACTGGAAATAACTCCTGAGTGGCATATACGGAGGCGCCCACATGTGGCTTAGGCCAAGGCTGGCACCTGTTGTCCCTGAGTCCAGGGCCCAGTGAGCCCAGGTGGCAGTTTCGGAGCAAGGCAAGAGGAGCTGGGGACCCAGAAAGGACAGAGCCTCATAAGGCTGGGACGTCCATTTACAATGAACTCGCCCCCAAAAGCTGGAGAGCCCCACCCCAGACTGGAGAGCTTTCCATACGTGGGAAACCCCTGAGAGCCACCATTTGGAGACCCTGAACCCCAAAAGGCCAACTGGGAAGGAACGGCAGGCGCCCACTCCTGCTTTTCACCAGCACGTCCCAAATACACCCCGGCCACCCCCAAGTCATTGTCAGAGCTGGTCCCCTAGAGGCTCCGATTGCTTCACAAAGCTCTATTTTTACTTGGACACATTTGGCATATTTTAAGTTTTCTGAATTGTGCTGAGAGAAGGCCACACAGGAAAGACAGGAGTCTGTGTACGTGGCAACTTGACAGTTCCCTATCTTATTATTTTCAGACCGTAATCGAATTCCTCTTAACCTTCTGGGAAAAAGAAGGTTCTTTTGCAAACCTCTTATCTCCCCTGCTCTTTGTGTTTGTTACTTTGGGTACGGAGCTTGAGTGGTTCAAATCACTCTTGAATTCCTAAGGAAACTGTACCCCCGATCAACGCGACGCTTGTCACAGACGAAACGTGAATACCGAAACACGGTGGCAAGTCCCAGACTCGCCTGGACCCCTGCCCACATCCTGTCGCTCACGGTTTGCCGGCAAACTCGGGGTTGTTTGCTGCAGCACCCGACAACCGGCCATGATTTGGGGATGGTTCCAGCGTGGCCTTCTTTTATTAAGAATGTTTTGCGTTGCGAGAGACAGTCTTGTCGTATAAATCTCACCGAGACAACTGTCACAGACAGAGATGGTGGGAGAGCAAGGGCCCCACAGAGGGCCTCAAGATCAAGGTGTTCTGACCGGTACCAACAACAACGATGGGGACGAAGAGGACCGACGGCCCTCCACAGGGCCTGTGATTCCAAGGGAGGATTTCTCCAGCCCTTTTGTAAGTTTCACTAGCGGGCCTGCCAAGTTCAAAGTTAAGGTCTGACCCAGCAGAAAACAGCTACGAGTTTTCATTAGCCCCACTGTCTCTCCTGATTTGAAAGAGATACAAGACGATCTGAACATGCAGATCTGAACAGGATTCTAAAGCAGAATGTGATTTTCAGGTGTCGCTGCATTTTTAGGATTCCCACAGTCATCCCAGAAGGTACCCGGTTTCTCAGTGACTTTTCCTTACTCTCGATATTTTCTGAAACTGATTTTTGCTGACTGTCCCAGTGGCCGGTATAGACTTATGAGTGGCACAGGAGTCAGTTGGTGGCAGAGGACATCGCTCACTTCCTGGTATCGGGACATCGGTTTCAGGGCTGACACTGAATCCCAGACCTTCCCCTTCAGAATGTGTATGAATTGAGAAATACGACCCAGGGATGAGATAGCTGGAACCCAAAACCCCAGCTGCATTCCAGACGGAGCTGAGTCGGAGAGTGCCACCTGTGTCCCCAGCCTCCGACCCACCATGAAGTGAGCCCCCACCTGTCACAGGCCATGCGATGGGGCCAGGCGGGGACCTGTGGGCTCTCAGCATGGGCCACAGTAAAGATGAATTAAGAGGCCCCAGGGGCTCAGTCCCTCCTTCTAGCCACACTGTCCTACAGGCCTTGCGATGCTCAATTTTGTGTCCACTTCCCTGGCGGGGGACACCATATCTCTGGTTAAATTACTGCTAGGCGTGTCTGTGAGGATGTTTCTGGAACAGATTAGCATTTGAATTGTTGGGCTCAGGAGGTAGGTGGCCCTCTGCAATGTGACATCACCTCATCCACTGAGGGCCTGAATCGAGTGAAAAGGCCCAGGAAGGCTGAACCCTCTCTGTGCCCGCCCTACCCGCGGACTGGGATGCGCGCCACCGCGCCACCGCGCTCCCGGGCCTCAGGCACTCCCAAGGACTGGAGCTACTCCCCAGACCTTTCTGGGCCTCCAGTTTGCAGAGAGCAGATCATGGGACTTCTCAGCTTCCACAACCACGTGAGCCGATTCTTTATAATACATCTCTTTCTACTATGCATGTATATAGTCAGGATAAATACATATTCTCTTTCTTTGGAGAACCCTGGCTAACACAGGCCTCTCTGTATTAGCCATTCTAGAGAAACAAATGTAGGCTTAAAACGCAGGTGAAAGTCCTCGTGGAAAGAGAAGGACAAAAAGCCGAGAACGCTGGGCTCGGTACCCAGGGCGGGGGGTGGTTTGGGGCTGAGAAACGTTGGCATCAGGTGATTAGAGAGAAGCAGAGCAGAGGACAGACGGGCCTCCCTGGAGCCCGCCCACAACACACAGGACCAGTGTGGAGGACACAGCACGTCCTGGAGCCTGCCCACACCCTCCATACGCGGCTCTGTTTAATCCACACGACCCCGCCACCCAGGAGCTGCGTAGCCGCAATGGCGAAGGCGGCCACGTGACACATGCTTCCCACGCGCTGGGCAATATTCCCAATGTATCCCTTCATCTGATCCTCGCGACAATCACATTCGATTCCTGTAACTAGTCCCCATTTTACAGACAAACCGACCGAGGCCCTGGAGCTCAGCGACTTGCTCAAGGTCACAGCGCTGGTAAGTGCTGGGGCTGGCATGGAAAGTCACATGGAAAGCTGACCTCGAACCCCGGGTGCCCACTCCGGGCATGGCCTGAGTGCTAGAGGGGCCACCTCCTGGCGCGGGTAGCATGAAAATGAGTGACCGAGAGGGTGACAGACAGAGTCCCCGCTGCGGCCTCTCCCCACGCCAGCAGGAGCCCTTTCCTAAGCTAGTCCCAGTTCGCTTTCCTCTCCAAAGCAAAATTCTACAAAATTCTAATTCATTAAAAATTCCACTGCAACTGAATTATGAAATAGTACACAGTGTAAGTTCATGTTCCCAGTTCACGGAACGGGCATTTCCACCCGCAAGCCCCGTCTAGCAAGGGCTCCCACGCGAGGGCCCCCGGCTCAGCCCTATGGACAGAAGCACCCTCCCCGTCCAGCCGCTGGGCCCCACTCCCCCGTGACGTCTCTACTCGCCCCCACCTCCTCCGCGAGTCTCCTCCAGCCCCCCTTACCCGCCCTCCTCGCTCTCTAAAGCATTTCGGCCCTCGTCACACGGAGCCTCGCGGCTCGAAGTGGTGTCTGAGGGATGCCAGGTCAGCAGCACTGGTCGCGTGCGAGGAACCCGGCGCCTCCAGCAGCGCCCTGGACCACGCCCCGGGCTCTGGATTTTTACAAGAGATACGTGCGTATTCGCTGGACCAAAGCACACATTTAAAAAAAATTTTCTGAAACGATTATAGACTGGCAAGAATTTATAATGAAATGTATAGGATGGGCCCCCAGCCTCCTGTAACGTTAACGCCTGAAACATCAAAGCCAGGGACCTGACGCTGGGGTAGTTGTGTGTGCGTGCGTGTGTGTGTGTGTATGTGCTGTGTGTGTGTGTGTATGCGGGGTGTGTGTGTGCGCACAACTCTATGTAGCTCTATCACACGCGTAGCTTCGTGTAACGATCACCTGTCTAGATACGTAACTGTACCAACGTCACGGGCTCCCTTGACCTACCACTCCCCCATCTCCGACTCCTGACAACCGTGAATCTGTTTTCCATCTCTATAACAAAATTACGTTATTTTACAAATGACAACTGGGGCGCTGGGAGAAGCCCTGGCCCCTGGACCTCGAGTTCTTACTCACCGCCCCGCCCCAGGTGGCCCTTCTGGCTGTGTGGGAAAGAAGAAAGGCTACAGGGCCGCTCCTGGGAAGGCCAGGCAGCTCTGCTGCCCTAAAGATGGGTCCCCATGTCCTCTGCTTGCTCTGGCCGTGGGCTTCAGGAAAGTCACTTCCCCAGCCTCGGTTTCCTCATCCGTGAAATGTGGAAATAATAGTTCCGATGTTAAAAAGGTAAGTATGTAAGTCTATAAAAGCTGCTTTTTAAAGCTTCGCGCCTGGCACAAAGTACGCACTCAACAAACAGTTATTATAAACAACACCCGTGGATTTTAACAGCCGACCAGAAGAAAACGCATCCTGGGACAGTGCATGACGAGTGGTCGGGGTCTCATCCGGGCCCACCTCTCCTCCTGGAGCAACTGCCTCATACCTGTCCCCACAGGGTGTCGCTCAGAGGCTCAGAACACCGGCTGTCTGTTCACCCTTGACCATCAATATCACGCCTCTGTTGGACCAAGTGAAAGGCGGAGACTTCAGTCTATTCCGTTTCCCAGCCAAGCTGAACATGCAGCAAAACCCCTCGAATCCTGCATTTGCTGCCGGTAGCATTGATTTTCTGGACTCTCCACATAACTGCAGGCAAGGAAACTTGCCAATCTAGAGTCAGAATCAAGAACCCAACTCACTGGCCAGCTCAGGGCTTTCCAGAGCTCCCGAGTGTCTGCTGCCTGTTTCTTGAAAAACCGGACTTTTTCTGTTGAATCCCAGTCTGGCTGCCCGGGTCCACGTCTTAGCTCCAACTGCTGCCACCTGCAGGACGCAAGGCAAGTCACCCCGTTTTTCTGGTTTCCTTATTGTAAAATGCAAAGGTCGTGATTGATGACTATGGGCGTAGACATGCGTAAAACCCTTGGAACAGGGCGGGGCTCGCGGCCAGCGTTTACAAACGGGATTGTCATTACACAGGGCGCTTCTCTGGGTCGAGTCTTCTCAGTTGTGGGTGAACAGACTCTAACTCTGGAGATTCACACAGGAAATGGAACAGTGACAGGATCATTCGGGAGACTCAGAGTTAAGAAGACGGAGAAGCAGGAAGAAACAGAAGCAGGCTGGGGGCTTCCAGGAAGTGGCAGCAGGATTTGGCAGAATATGGAGAAGTTGGCCCGGAAATAAAATAATTAGAACCCAAAGCAGAGTCTGAGAAGTGCTGCCCTGGGAGACTGGGTTCGGTTCATTCTGGGGAACATTCGGAAGGAGGGGCCCTAGGGCAAAGGGAAAGGACACTGCAGCCTGGGAGGTCACCGGGAAGGCCACTGGCTGGGAGCATCGATGAAGGACGGCTGACTTCTGGCATGCGGGAATATTCCCAAAGCCGCCGTGTGCTGGGCACACACTGGACACCTGATGCAGAGGAGCACCCGGAATTTCTCCTGCAGCCCAGAGGAGCCGACATTGTCATCCCCACTTTGCAGGCGCTCAGAGAGGTTGGCTGTCTGGCCCGGGTGCAGGCCGTCAAGTGGCAGGGCCTGGCGAGTGACATCCAGCTGCAGCTCACCTACTTCACCTCTCCCCTGGAGGAGACAACACCTGGGTCAGAGGAAGAGGCCCACGGAGGAAGATCAAGTCCCACTGCCCGACGACACGTGGGCGAGCAAAGTGGGGCCGATCGCCCACGCGCCTCGGCCACGTCCAGGTCATCAGGGTGGCCCCTCTACCGAGTTCACACCCACGCTCGGCTCCTCGCGGGTCTCCTTCCAGTGCCTGAGGCATGGACAAGGCGACAGGCGGCTCAGTCTTCCTGACCACAGGGCTGATGACCAGAGCAGAGGCTACATCATCAGCGATGAGGAAGCAGCAGTTTCGCGGGCCGGCTGGCCCTAGCCCAGCTCCCAGTGCCCTGTGCCACCCCCGTGTGCCTTCTCCAGGGTCCCTGCCACCAGACTCTGGCTTCTGCACCCCCCTTTGTGTGACTTTTCCTCCAGCACAGAGTCACTCACCGTCTCCCTAGAGGCTCTCTTCACTTCAATCTGCAGGTCCATTCTCTCTCCCTGGGCCACCCTGGTCTTCCCATGTGCCCCAGCACCGTGTCGTAGGCTCCCCTCCATGTCAGACTGACTCTCGTTTGGGACCTCGTGAGCAGTAGCCACTGAGAGTACCAACATGCTGCCAACAGAGCGTCCGCTGTAGGGCCGGGCTCTGCGGCAAGGGGCTCTAAGGCAACAGTCTGAGCTAGCTGACCCGTTCCACAGACACGGAACCAGGCTCCCATGGGCTAAACGACACGCAAAAGGGCACACAGCTCCCTGGGTCCAGACGAGCACGTCCCGTCTGCGGGGACCTCTCCCCACAGGGGCCTGACCGCATGCACGTGTTCCAGTGGCCGGACAGAGGAGTCGAGGCCATCGCTTTCCATCCGCCCGCATTCTCGCATCGAGGGCGACCTGTCAGTATCACAGGCCCTCGCTCCACGCTGGGCCCTGTGCGTCGGAATGCGTGGAGTGTAGACAGTGAGGAAGAGAGCGCAGGTCTACACCTGCAGCGCACCACCCCTCAGAGACATGCGCCGTTAACGAATAACGACTTGAGTGCATTTTCACTGTGGTTGCTTTTAAATGGGACAAGAGTGCTTTAAAAAGAAGAAAAACACGGAAAAGTTATATACATGCTAAAAGTTCCCACTGACAGGAGGCATTCCCAGGAGGTGACTTAGTGCTTGCTGTTCACCAACAGCGCGTGCCACCGCGACCCCGCGCTGGCCTGTGGCGGGCACCCTGCCCTCCGCACTCTGGGTCTTACCGAGCGACTTAGGCAGCGGCTGCGTCATTACCTCCTGGTTTCCTGTGCCCTAATTGTGGAGCCAGTGCCACCTCATTCTATTTCAAAGAAATTATGTCCTTAGCTCCTCTAGGAGCGCCCGAGCCTGGAAAGGCAGCAAATAAACCAAAGGTTTCGTAAAACACACCAAGGGTCAGCTGGCAAAGACATCGTGTAGCGATGCTGAAAATAAACCCGGCCCGTGTGGCCAAAAGGCTGGGGCTTGCCAGGCTCAACCAACCGGATGTGCCGAATACTCTCTCTTTACTCCAGGGATGAGATGGCCTCGTGCCTTTATTATACATTGCTTTAAAAATCACGATAATAATGAAAAAAATAGTGGATCAGAAGAGTTAAAGCAGCACCAAGCTGAACAGCACTAGGGTGAGGGCGAGGCCTGCAGACCACGCGGGGACAGGCAGGTGACTGCTTACCTGTCCAGGTAAAAGTAAACTGTTCCTTTGGATTCGTCTTTCTTTTCTTTCCTCAGAGGGCCTCTGCTCTCCCGCCCAATTCCAAGATAAAACCTTTCTCCAGCACAGGCAAATACAGATAGCTAGGTGACAGACGTTTTTTCCGATCCAGCTCGCTGTGGGTTTTGTTCTGTTTTCTTGAGGAATACAGAAAGCCTGAGATGATAATAAGCAGCGTGAGGATGAACGGAGACCCCTGACATCTTCCTGCTGTCTACGGGGCCGTCACCTGCTATAGCGACACGCTCAGTGCCAACTTCATGGGTTGTACAGACACTGACCTCTCAGGCCGGACGACCCAAACCCAACCTCACTTGAATGAACGTTTTTCCGTAGTTTCTTACACCTTTCTTCCATCTGACGGTTCATAGGACAATGCCAATGCCGTGAGTTCCGTCTCCGGGGCTTGGCTTAGATGAAATACATCGTGCCTTTTCTTGATTACACACGCTATCAGCATGGGAAGCACTCCGGCCTGTTTATCTTTGTAGAGTCCAGGCCGGCATCTCCAGGGCATCAAGGCTGCATTTCTGCCACCAGAAATCTGATGAAAACACATAGTACGACACACACACAGCTTAAAGTACACACGCACAGCGAAAAGCACACGAACAAACGTGACCCTGGAAACGGCGCGGGTTACTCTGGGCAGCAGCAGGTAAGATCTGAACTGGGATTCAGAAAACGACCCTCAGCTCCTTTTCTTCTGGGGAGGGATGCTCGAGCTTCGGGGGAAGCAAACACTGGCCATGCCTTTTCTCATCTCCATCCTCACACCCACCTACCTTAGAAGCACATTTTCACGTCTCGAAAAATGTCTGTATTACATTAGGAATGCCACACCGTGGATTTCAAAATCCACAGGGCTCTCATGGGCCTGCAGGCTGCCAGCCAGGCCGAGGAGGCTTTCATCGCCCCGGGCCTCTGTGCTGACATCTACAGTCCCAGGTAATCATGCCGCACCCCTAACTAGCCTCAGTGTCCCCCGACTCTCCCGGCTTTGGGTCCCACGTCCTGGGCCCCAGCACTCACATGCTGCACATTCTCTCTGGGCAGGAAGGTGGCTGACACAGTGTTTCCTGTCTCACAGGCATTTTCAAAAATATGTAGACAGAGACTAGTGAACCCAAAGGATCTACGGCGTGAAATCTCAGGCGCAGGGTTCCCCAGAGATGGGAACGTGTCTGGGGAGCCACAAGATGCATTTGGGGTAGCAGTCCACAGGCAGCCCCTTGCTGGCGTCACCCTCTCGTTTGCCCACTTGTAGACCGTTTTTGTTTTTTTTTTGTCCCGGTAACTGCATTCTAAGAGCTCAAAATTTGGAGACAGAAAGTCATTTAGCAATTATAGATGAAGTCAATCAATCAAGGTCAATTAATAAAAAGGACATAACAGCTGTAAACATCAATGCCCCTAAAAACAGCGCTTCTAAAATACATGAAGCAAAAAGTAACAGAAGTGCAAGACCAGACAAATCACCATCAGGGTCGGAGATTCCATGCTTCTCTCTCGATAACGGATAGAGCATCCAGGCAGGAAATCAGCAAAGATGCCGCAGACTCAAACCAACTGCCGAGCCACGTGGCCTAACTGACATCTCTAGAACGGCCCCGCCCAACATCAGCAGGACACACTCTTCGAACCGCAAAGAGAACATCACCAAGGTAGACCATATCCTGGGCTATAAAACAAGTCTGAATAAGTTTTTAAACATTCAAGTCATACAAGTATATTCTCTGGCCACGACGGACTTACTAGAAATCAATAACGGAAGGACACCTGGGAAATCTCCAAATATTTGGACACTAAATAATATATATATCCACATAAGCCAGATCAAAGAAGCACGCAAAAGGAATATTAAAAAGTATTTTAAAATAAATGAAAATTAAAGCACAACATTTTAAAAGGTGTGGCTCGCTGCTAACGCAGAACTCAGGGTGAAATCTGCAGCAGTGGACAACAATATTAGAAAAGAAGAAGGGTCTCAAATCACTGACCTCAGCTGCCACCTTAAGAAACTAGAAAAAGAAGAGCAAATATAACCCAAACTGAGCAGGAGGAAGAAAATAATAAAGATCAAAGCAGAAAGCGATGAAATAGAGAACAGCCTTAATAATGAAATTCAGAGAAACCAAAAGCTGGCTCTTTGAGAAAAATCTATAAAATTCGCAAACCACTAGCCAGATTGATCAAGGAGAAAAAGAGAGAGACTAATTCACTGTTTTCTATTAATTTTTAAATTCATTTGCCACCACCTGGCTCCCAGCCCTGAGCCCACACTCAGAGGACTCCCCTCAGTCTCTAAGGACCTCGTGTTGCCATTTTACTCGACCTCCCTGGGGTCCTGATAATCTTTATGACAGATACAGTATTGTTATTGTTCCTGACACACAGGTGAGGAGACTGAGGTCCAAGTGGACCAGATCCTCCCTTTTCCTTCTCTTGGTTTGAAAGGTTGCTGTGAGGATCCTAGAAAAATACAACCTGTAAAGATTTAGCTCAGCTTCTATCTGTACCAGCGCCTCCACGATACAGCAAATAAACATCCAATCGTGTGTTTCACTCACGGAGACCACACCCTTTTCCAACCAGCTGGCCACCCTCAGGCCCTGGCCACCAGAAAAGTCTCGAGTCACTCCTGTCCCTGCCTCGTCCCCTGCTCCTGGGAAAACAGCCATGTTTTGATTGTTCTGGGTCTGCAATGCAGCAGTTATGTTGGGGTCACTACCAGCAGTGACGACTCCTCTCTAGGACCCCTCAAACCCTGAGCCACCTTCAGCGAACCGGCAGCCCTGATACCGCTCCCGGTCACTCTCCTGCCATCACGAGTAAATGACTTCCGGATCCTGATGCCAAAGAACTGTAAAACTCCAGTCTAGAAGTCCTTCAGCTATGGAAAAGGGTGGGCTCCATTAAACTCCCCGCTCAACTGTCAGCCCTGCCTAAAAGATGGAGACCTCTGCCCAGGCTAATGATTTACTGCGAATTTAGTCTTTCTCTGGGGTGCACTTGGTAGTCAGTGGGGGAGGGTGATTGTGACATCCAGAAATGTTTTGTTTTTTTTTTTTAACTGTGGTAAAATATACATAATGTAACATTTACCATTTTAAGCATCTTTAGGCTTACGAGTCAGAGGCATTAGGATATTCACAGCTGTGCTGAAGAGGAATTTTCCACTCAAATGGCTAACCTTGTAATCATCTCTGTTCTGCTTCTGTAGACGTGCTTGCTGAAGGGCAGGTGACCTCCCTTTGCTTGTTCCGTCAACAGATGTATCCCTT